AATTCCCATAAAATACTTCAAGCTTCCCAAGTCTTTGATTTCAAACTCACCGGATAAATATTTCTTCAACAGAAGTATTTCCTCACTATCATTGCCCGTAAGAACTATGTTATCTACATAAACAATAAGTGTTGTAGTCTTACCACGTGAGGAATGTTTCACAAACAAGGTGTGATCTGCCTGACTCTGTTTGAAGTCATATTTAAGCATAGCCTGAATAAATCTCTCAAACCAAGCCCTTAGAGACTGTTTGAGACCATATAATGACTTCCGAAGCCTGCATACTTTGCCTTCTGTCTGATGATCCTCAAAACCAGGAGGAATGTCCATATATACCTCTTCTTCGAGGTCACAATGGAAAAGGCATTCTTGACATCAAATTGATAAAGTGGCCAATCTAGATTAGCTGCTAGAGAGAGAAATACTCTGACTGAATTCATCTTAGCCACGGGTGCAAAGGTCTCCTGAGAGTCAATGCCATATGTCTGAGTGAACCCTTTTGCCACAAGTCTTGCCTTGTAACGCTCAATAGAACTATCTGCTTTGTGTTTTACAGTACACACCCATTTGCATCCCACAGGTCGTTTGCCCGTAGGTATCTCAGTCAATTTTCAAGTGCCATTCTTCCTAAGTGCTTTCATTTCCTCAATCATGGCAAGTTTCCACTCAGAGGTAGCAAGAGCATCCTGAAAATGGTTAGGAATGCTAACAGAGGAAATATTTGACACAAACGCTCTGTATGAGGATGACAAATGAGAGTAGGACACAAAATGTGAGATAGGATGTTGAGTACAAGATCTCACTCCCTTTCTCTTGGCAATTGGAACATCAAGATCAATAGACTCGAGATTTAAAGTTACCTAGGCTCTCATTAAAAGCAGGAGATGGCAGTGGAGGAGCAGAAGTGGTCCCTTGTATCCAGTTAACTTTCTATCTGTCTTTGTCCTGGACATAAACTTGCCCTTCCCTATCCTTGTCCTTGGTGACATTGGGTCTGTAGTCCCAGTAGAAGAGATTGGTGCAAGAACAACTGGTTCCACCATAGGAATCACAGGACTCATTTCACACCAAGGCTCCCCCACAAGGGAGGACTGTGACACCGGAGAAAACAAGAAATAGGACTGAGACTCAAAGAAAGTAACATCCATGGACACAAACCACTTACGAGAAGAAGGGTGGTAACACGTATACCCTTTTTGAGTAGGAGAGTAACCAAGGAAAACACATTGAGGGAGTGAGGGTCTAGCTTACCACGAGTATGAGAGTGATTATAAACAAAACAGACACAACCAAATATTTTGGGAGGAATAGAAAACAATGACTGGGAACCTAGGAGGACTTGAAGAGGAGCTTGTTTTTGCAAGACCTGAGTAGGAAGACGATTAATAAGATGTGCAGCAGCGAGAACAGCGTCGCCCCAATAGGACCAACGCACACTCATAGAAAAACACATACACCGAGCCATGTCAAGAAGATGGCGATTATTGCGTTCTGCCACCCCATTTTGTTGAGGGGTATTGGTGCAAGAGGTCTAATGGATAATGCCATGAGTAAAAAAATATTGTCCTAGCCCAGAATCGATGTATTCCCCCCCATTATCAAAACGGAATCGTTTGACAGTGGCCCCAAACTGAATACAAATCATCTTATGAAAATTGCAAAACACATAGAAAACCTCACTCTTGTATTTCATGAGATACACCCAAGTAGTACAAGAAAAATCATCAATAAATGTAACAAACCATCGATGACTTTTTCACAGACATAACACGAGAGGGACCCCAAACATCAGAATGTATTAATGAAAAAGGAACTAAACTTTTATTAAAACTGGAAGCAAAAGAAACTCTGTGTTGTTTTCCAAGTTGACAAGACTCACAAAGAAACTCAGACACATTATTATTTGCGAAACCAGATGGAAATAAATGCTTAAGTAAATAAAAAGAAGGATGCCCAAGACACCGATGCCACAACCATAAATCATCTGGGGTAGTAGGACTCGTGGTGGAAGAATAAGCAAGCTTGTCCGGTTGATCTAGGAAGTAAAAACCATTTTTTGCATTACTACTGCCAATCGTCCTCCTCGTGACAAGGTCCTGAAAAAGACAATGATTAGGAAAAAACATCACACTACAATTCAAATCCTGAGTAAGATGACTCAAGGATAACAGATTAACAGAAAAATTGGAAACATGGAGAACAGAAGATAGAGGTATGGTAGGAGTGACGTGGACTAAACCTTTCCCAGAAATGGAAGAAACAGTACCATCTGCAATCCTAACTTTGTCCTGACCTGAAGAGGGCTTATAGGCAGAGAAAAGATCAGAGGAGCCAGACATATGATCTGAGGCACTGGAATCAATAATCCAAGACCTTATGAGATAGGAAAACACAAGGAAAAGAGGCTAAGTTACCTGAGCGGGCAAATGATGAGGAAGATGTACTGAGAGCAGTAGAAGACCGGCGGTCCAACAATTGACGCAGAACATCCCCAAGCTCCTGAGTAACCATACTAGAGAGATCATCAGAAGCCAAGCCAACAGAAGCAAAATTAGAATCAAGTGTATCAACGGCACTAGACTGATGAGCCCCGGGATAGGAGCCACGTCCTCTAGACGGGCCTGACCGACCTCCTCTAGAACCAGACTGATCACCTCGACCCCCAAATGGAGTCCCATGAAACTTTCAACACGTCTCACGAGTATGCCGCGGCTTCTTACAATAATCACAGAATACAGACTCCTTGGCGGCAGACGGAGGGATGGGAGTCAGGCTGAGGCCATTTCGAGGGGTAGACAGTAATGCTAAGCGGTCAGAAGACAAGGGACATCATAATAGACCGGCGACTCTCCTTATTTTGTACATAGGCAAATGCCTCCTGAAGTGAAGGAAGAGTGTCCATACCTAGAACTCGACTCCTAACCTGATCATACTCCACATTTAGGCCAGTCAGAAATTTAAAAACCCATTCCTGTGCGATTAACTTCCTGTACCCGACAGAATTAGCAGTGCAAACAAGCTTATAGTCCTGCAGGTGATCAAGGCGTTTCCAGCCATTGGTGAGGAAGGTGAAGTACTGAAGAACAGTTTGCTCCCCTTGAATAGAGCTCTCAATAGAGCGGTGCACCTCAAATGCCTGTGAGAAATTCCCTTTGCGGGAATATGTGGCAGCCACAACATCCCAAACATCCTGAGCAGTCTCCATAGACAAGTAGCTCTCAACAATTGCTAGAACCATCGAATGAATAAGCCAACCCATAATCAAAGAATTGGTAATCTCCCATTGGTCATAACCCGAGTCAGTGGTACTAGGTGCCTATATCCTGCCATCAACATACCCCATCTTCCCTCTGCTCTTCAAAAATATAGTCAAACTCTGAGACCATATTAGATAGTTCTAACCATTAAATAGAGAGGTGGTGATTTTCAGACTAGGGTTAGAGTTATCAAGCATGGTAGTAGGTATAATGGAACTCTCACTCCTAGGTGTTTGAGAGGTAGTGGACACACTGGTGGAATCTGCCATGGATACTATACTACCAAACCCGCAACAAAACTAGTGGCAATCACAAACCCGGAAGGTGGTGGTGGTGGAAGAAAAGACACAATGACCACTATAAAGGCATAACAAAATTAAGAAAACATAAAGTGTACTGTGTTTAAAATCAAACAGAGGCACTACACGACATATATGAGAGGTAAGACCAAACAGAGGTGATACTAGAGATGACTGAAGACGAGCGACGAATTGACAAAGTGACGAGTGACGACTGAAGTTGTTCAGGAGACGACGGCATAGGGGAAGTCGACTGAGGCAGAGGGGCTACCAAGAGCAGTCGATACCGACAGATGACCAACCCAGGTAAGTTCCGAACCCTAAAGTGATCTTTGTTGCTGAGTTCGACCAACAAGGGTGAGCCGAAACCCTAGACAGGCATCAACCCACCCAAAACTACGTGGGTCCTTCTCGGCTTGAGCCGAAGCCCCTCTAGGTGGAGTTAGCTTGAGCCAACAGAGAGAGAGGAACTGGCTCCGGTGGTGGCTGGTAGCTCCGGTGGTGAATAGGAACAGTATGGGTAGATGGATTTAGGTGTTAGGGTTTGGCTCTGATACTATGATGATTTTAGAGAGTAATCGGGAATGATTAGGATATCATCCCCTATTTATATTAATGAAGATTAATAATTACAAGGCAGCCCTAAGGCATAGAATAATTACAAACTAATAACCCAAATAATAATATAATATGCTAACAATCCGAATATCCTAAGATTTAGGTTTATGAAGGTCTGATGTTTGGGCATGCACCCGCACAACCACCTAATACTCGTACCTAAGTCTAGATTACATAGTATATCCATTAACATCTCAACTTATATGTATCGTAAACATTTAAAGTATAGTCACTATTACCCATTTTATGAACAACATCCTCCTCAACGGCTCAACCTCACCCTACCATAAATCAACCATAATAATTAAAGAGCTCCCCACAATCATTGATATCAAGCAAAGCCATCCAAGTTTGTTTTTACTACTTTGAGTACATGCAATAAGGTTCGGTACTACTTTGAAAACCTCTACATTCCAATATTGGCGCTTCATGCAAAGTGTCAAATATAGTAAAAACCCACAAATGGAAATAATGGTACTACTTTGAAAACCTCTACATTCCAATATTGGCCCTTCATACGAAGTGTCAAATATAGTAAAAACCCACAAATGGAAATGCTTGCTAGTACATAATTATACTTTTGCGTAATTACAGTTTGTTCCAAAATACTAGGCAGTCATATATTTTAGTGGTCTGCTTCTCACAGGGCAATTCATGCGTAGATTTTCATCAGGAATGACACCAAGCATATATTGAAGTTTGCATCAGGAATGACACCAAGGAGAGAACTTACAAATTTATAAACTAAATTAGTAAATAGAACAGGTAAGCACAGGTTATATGATTAATAAATATTGGCTGTCTCTAGAACAAAGTATAAGGATACTGAAGCAATATTTCTTGCAAGAGGCATTTCTCAATAACAAAATCAAGTGGCATCTCAAATAGAGCAGCCAAACTGTTCCTGTGATCTCTGGAACTAAAATTGTGGGCATTATCTGAACAACTGAGCATACTCTGCCAACCACTTCCACCAGAAACATTTTCTAGAATCACATCTTCTTTCTTGTCATTCTTTGATTCCAAAGTCAAATTAACATGAGCAAACTCAGTCTTATCGATCAAGATCTCATGACCATCATAGCCTTCTTTATTGTGGTGATTGCTCTTACAAGTTGCAGCAGAAGCATTGGAGTTCTTGAAAATCATAGGGTCAGCTTCAAATTGACATCTGGGACTGGGAACTAAGTTTTCCACATATACCTTATATGGGTCTTTTACAGACGAAAAATCAAAGCAAGGAAAAGGTTCTGTACGGTCTCTGCACCATCTCTCTCCACGCCTACTCATCAGCTCATTTTTTGACAATAATGGGTTCATACTGAGAAGATTGGAATGGTAATTGAGCTTCAATGGTTGCAAAGTAAATGAACTGGATGAAGCACAAGTTCTATTTGGAAGTTGACCGTTATCATTGGTTTCCTCTGCTAAAGAGTTTTCAGTGAGAATCATATTGCTCAAATATGGTGCACCCTCCTTCAAGACTCCTGTGTTTCTAGTACTAGCCTTTAACCCATGCTCAGAAGGATGGGACCTTGTGTCATGTCTAGGCCTTCTGTCAACAAAAAAAGGATTTTTCACAAGGCCACTAAACAGCAAGCCTGTATCAAACTGACTCTCTGTGTATTGAGTTTCAGATAACCATGACCAGTTTGGCTTCCCGGAATCCAGACACACAGGATTCTCACTCAAATTTGTTTCTCTACGACAAGGATGTACAGAATGGTCATCTAGATCTGTTCTTTCATAAATTTCACATGAATCAGCTTCAATGTGGTTTGACGTGTCACTTTCGGAAGGTTTTTGTGATAAATTATGAATGGAAGTTCTTGACAATAAGTTTAAAGCAGATAAATAATTTTGTTCAAATACAACCAAACTATTAGGAAGCTGAATCAACTGCACAGACTCATTTTTCTCTTCAGAGCCATTTAAAGATGAACATTCTGATGATTCCAACTGATCCTCCACATAAGAGAACTCATCTGTCGTGCTAGAAGCCTCAGACTCCATAGTGTTAAAAGCCCTGGTAATCAAGAAAATTCAAATCATGAAGAAGCGAGAAGCATAGAAAATACCTATAGGAGGCTAAACAAATGGGTGAAGGAAACAAATACAGCAATGTCAATGAATACTAAGTTATTAGCAGCATTTGCTTGTTAGATCACCACAAATCTGAAAGCTCAAATAAAGGGACCCAACAATGCGTAACAAACTCTCCAACAACACCCTCCCTCAAGTGCAACTCTGTCTTGCACATGGAGATGCAATCATCCAAACATAGAGAGTAACATAAAGCAAATAGGGAACAAACGCAAACAGAGCAACTTGAACACAAGACCTCCCCCAACTTGAGCGCCGATACCATGTTAGATCAACACCAGTTCAAAAGCTTAAGTTGTTAGGAAAGGTGCCCAAAAATGCATTTCAGGCTCTCCACAATATTGATTTTGAATGAGTGGGCAAACTTCAAATATGCAAGTGAAACAAATATTACAAAACATGCATATGTGTGCACGAGGGGAGAGAGAGAGAGCTTACACATCCAAATCTGTTTTATCTGTTGAAGGAAAAATGAAACTGCCATCCTTCATAAATGAAATTGGGTTGTTCAGATTCCCTCCATTGTTATTTACAAAGACTGGTACACTGTCATCTGCAACTACCTGGGAAAGCATATACAGCAAGAAATTAAACGGACGCTCGGAAATCAGACAAATGCTAGCAACAAAACTTGCTAAAGATTAGGTTAGCCGTTAGAAATAATTATTGCTTGACAATGAAACGGACTTTTGCTGTCATTCTACAAACATAATACAAAAACAGCCATTCTTCCAATTCCCGTTTCTAGTTGGACAAACAACTCAAATTAACTAGCACATTTCACCTCCAAATCAAATTATCAATGGTGAGAATCTTCTCATTGACTTGCATTCCACAAACAAACAAATAAAATAATTTTTTCGTAAAAAAGAAAAAGACTCCTTAGAATGAAACTGTAAAAATTTATGTATTATTGATTGATGCTTTGATCTCTATTACAATGAAATAATTTTTTCGTAAAAAAGAAAAAGACTCCTTAGAATGAAACCTACCAAATCCATTTCCAAGGAAAACAAAGATTCTCTAATTCCCATTAAAGCACCACAGGCTTTTGAAAGTTCCTTTTTCAGAGTTTAACCCTCTCATAGCATCCTATCTCTCTTCTATGCTCGGCACATTATATAAATGGCGCAGGAACTAAAAGGAGAAAACATGTATAGAAGTCACTACTCACTAGCTTTTAGCTTAGTGATATTTGGTAATTTTTCAGTTACGGCTGCTTGGTTGGTTATGGGTCTTTTGTTCCTATTTTTATATATAAATAGGTCTTTTGTTTCTTGTCCTTCGTTAGTACTTTTTAGATCCTTAATTAGGATTATAAGTCTTTATAGACGTTTAGAAAATCATGTTTGCTAAAAAAAATTATTTTGGGGAATTTTGATATTTCATTAGTTACTGTTTTGGTTAGAATTTCCTACTTTTAGAGTGTTAAAATTCACCTACTACACATCTACCACTACCACCTACTACACACTCACCTACTTCACCTACTCTCCACCTACTCCTCACCTACTCCATACCTACTACACACTCGCCTATTCTCTTCCCACATCCTCTCTTCTATATATAGGAATTATGAATCATTGTAATATAAATCAACACACATCAATCAATAATACATCAATCATAACATGGTATCAGAGCAGGTTTAGAACCTAATATTTTCGCTTCCCCGGCGGGCGGCAACCTCACCTTAGCTGCCCGCCGGACCTCAACCTAATCCGCTATAATTTTCTACACATACCTTGAAATTTCTTCTATTTCACCACCAATTTTCTTCCTTGAAGCTTCCTCTGTTCTCGGCCCATCCCAGTTGAAACTTCCCAATTTCTCTTCACTCTCATTTTCTCTCCTCTCAGTTGCTCAGCTCACTGACGGCGGCTCTCTCACTTCCTTCGGTCTCTGCTCACGGTTTTGAAAGAAACTACATCATTATCTTGCAATGGCAGTCTCATTTTCTGGTGTTAACTCACAATCTGGCCTCAAGACGCTCGATGCGTACCTCCTGGCACGGAGTTACATCACAGGATATCAAGCCTCAAAGGATGATATCACTCTGCACGCAGCTCTTTCAAAACCTCCACCATCTGAATTCGTGAATGCATCTCGGTGGTACAATCACATTGAAGCTCTTCTTAGAATTTCTGGTGTTTCTGGGGAAGGTTGTGGTGTCCACCTCAACAAACTCCACTCATTCCCTTCGTCAAACAAGTGGTCTAAGCAAAAGTGCGATAAAAAAAAAAAAAAAAACCTGCTGACATCAACAGGAAGCATGGGAGCCTCACCATATCTCTAGCAACTTTTTATTTATTTTATAATAATAATAATAATTATTATTATTTTCTCTCCCCTCCAACACACCCACAATCTTTTTTTTTTTTAATATTTCAGCCTTTTCCTTATTTTTTATTCTTCAACCCACCTGGCATGTCTCTTCCTGATTTTTATTTTCGTTTCTCATCATCACATTACACTCATCTTTTATCCCCCATTTCTTTTAATACTTCCCATTCTTTCTTTTCAACCTGTTCCCCATTGATTTTATATAAAAAAAATAAATAAATAAATAAATAACATAAAAACAAAAAAAAAATAATCATATATATATATCTATATATTCTGATTACTTTTCACACCTATATTCTTTCTATTTCTTTCTTTTTTATTTCTCTTTCATTTTATTTTTTCATCTTTTTTTTTCCTTATTATTTCTTTGCACGAAAAAAAAAAAAAAAAGAAGACGAACTGCACACCAAACTCATTTTATTCATGTTGGGGCTCACCCCGATCACCATTTTACACCA